CACGTCTTTGCTCTTCAACACTTCAAAAAGGTCTTGTGCAGCAGATTTGCCTAATGCAATACGTCATTTGATCTCTTGACTTCCGTGAGTGTTGGTAGTTGATCCAAGAAGAATGAAGTCCTTGACAACTTCAATCTTTTCTCTGTTGATAAGAATGTTGTTTATGCGTCCAGTGGTGAGGATTTTTGTTGTCTTGACATTGAGATGTAATCCATATCAAAGGCTGTGCTCTTTGATCTTCATCAGTAAATGTTTTAAGCCCTCTTCACATTCAGCAAGCAAGGTTGTATCATCTGCATATCACAGGTTGTTAATGAGTCTTCCTCTAATCCTGATGCCACGTTTTTCTTCATAGAACTCCACTTCTCGGCAAAGCTGATCATAAAAGTCAATGATAATAAAAATTATTATTTAAAAAAAAAGGCAAGCCTTCAAGTTATGTCAGAAACATACTTACGATAACCCCTCAGAGTGGAACCCTATCGTAAGTCAGGGACTACTTGGACTTATTTGGTTGCATCTAAAAGTAAAGAAAACAAAAATCTTAACCACTGGACCAATAAACAACATCTGTATCAAAGGAGAAAAGATTGAAGTTGTCAAAGACTTCATTTTGCTTGGATCACCCATCAACATTGGGCAAATACACCACATCACCATTGATCACCATCAACATTGGGCAAATATACCATATGACTATTGATCACCATCAACATTGGGCAAATACACCACATCACCATTGATCACCCATCAACATTGGGCAAATACACCACATGACCATTGACCACCATCAACATTGGGCAAATACACCACATCACCATTGATCACCATCAACATTGGGCAAATACACCACATGACCATTGAGCACCATCAACATTGGGCAAATACACCACATGACCATTGAGCACCATCAACATTGGGCAAATACACCACACAAGACCTCTGTGAAGTGTTGAAGAACAAAGATGTCAGCTTGAGGACTAAGGTGCATCTGACCCAAGCCATGGTATTTTCAATATCCTCATATGCATGTGAAAGTTGGATAGTGAATAAGGAAGACTGTAGAAGAATTGATGTCTTTGTGTTATGGTGTTGGAGGAAAATATTGAAAGTGCCATGGACTGCCAAAAGAACCAACAGATCCGTGTTGGAAAAAGTACAGCCAGAATGCTCCCTGAAAGCCAAGATGGCCAAACTTGGTCTGTCATACTTGGGACATATTGTCAGAAGGGACTAGTCACTGGAGAAGGATATCATGTTTGGTAAAGTGGAGGGTCAGAGAAAAAGAGGCAGACCCCCAGCGAGATGGATTGGCAAAGTGGCAGCATCAATGGGCTCAAACGTAGCAACAATTGTGAGGTTGGCCCAGGATCGGGCAGTGTTTCGTTCTGTCGTGCATAGGGTCGCTGTGAGTCGTTACCGACTCGATGGCACTAAACAACAACAACAACCTAGAGTCCTGGTGTGGCACTGCAGGATCATGCGCTGGACCACAAACTCAGTTTGAACTACAAGGTTGGTGGTTCAGCCCCACCAGCTACTCCTTGGAAACCCTGTAAAGGGTTGCTATGGGTTAGAACCAACTCGATGACACTTAACAAGAAGCTGAAGAGGGTCGGTAAACCCCTCAATAGGACGAATTTGACACAACACAGTAATCCTCACAAGGATGGGATTGTTCATCTTGAGTTGGAGCCAACTCAACAACACTAATGAAGAACAAGTTCCTACCCTGAAGAGGTGGTCTGTGTAAGGAAAGCCAGTGGACAGTAGGGCCCCACGCTGTAGGGCCCCATGGAGCCTGAGGGAAAGTTAAGGAGGGAGAGGTCTACAGGAGCAGGGCTGGGCCACCGGGGTAGTTGCTGACCTCCGCTGGCTCTGGCAAGCAGGCACAACACAGACAGGGACTAGGGAATGGAGGGTCTGGGAGGGGAGGGGTGTAGAAGTGATTATTACTGGAGGGTATGGGGGTCTTCTGAGTGGTAGAGATTTAAGAGAAGTTGGGATAAAAGTGATTTGGCAAAGCCCAGTTAGGTGCTGAAGGTGGTCAGAAGAATTTCTATTTTAAAAGAAGCCTGAAATGGGGAGAGGCAGGGACACAAATTCCACAAAATGACTCATTAAGGTGATGTTGTTGTTAGGCACCAATTCAGACTTGCAGCAACCCCAGGAGACAGTGTAGAACTGCAGTTTATGAAACAGACTGACACCCCTTTCTTCGGACGAACAGCTGGTGGATTTGAACCACAGATCTTTTGGTTAGCAGCTGAGTGCTTAACCGTTGTACCACCAGGGATCCTTTGTGAAGGACTTCAGAGGGGTATTTAGGAAGACTGGAGCTGTCATCTTTCCAAAAATGCAATCATGATCATGTGACCTCCCAGTTTAAAAGTTCATAGAGATACTAAGCTTCCAGGTCAAGGTTCCACCCGCCAAGGCCTCACCTCCACTTCCTACGTCTCGTGGGCAGGACTCCTTCCCTCAGCAAACCCTTCCAGTTCTCCCCAATCTTGAACCCCCCAACTCTGTGCCACAAGCTCCCCGCTGCCCCCCTCAGTGCTTTCCTGGGTTCAGAACTCCTCCCCACATGCCCACATTCTACTCTTCAATGTTCAGCTGGGGCAAGAAAGGGAAGAAAAGACGCCAAAGTGCTCACAAAGGGACCGCAGAATGGCTGAACTGCAGTCAAGGCAAACTCTCCACTTGGTCTGTTGTGGTTTCTAGAATTTCTACTTTGAGCATGTTTCGCTTTTCTAAGGGGGATGGAGTGGAGGTCGCTGAAGAGCGATCCTTTGAAACATAAAGGATCTCCAGTCTGAGAGTCATCCCTCCAGGAAGCCACCCGCCTCCAAGCTGAACTGGGCCTCTCCCCTGGGTCTCTGGAGCCCCTGCGGACCTTCTTTCCACCCGTTTCCGTCACAGGTGGTCAGTTTCTGCTGGTGGTGGGTTTGGCACGCTGGATTAGAATTTACCTTAGATAAGCACTCCCTCCTTGCTGAGGGGAGTGTCTCAGGGGTAGCCTGTTCCCCTGGCACCCCATTCAGAGACAGGAAACAAGAGCCCCACCCCCTTCTCTGGCCCATCCTGATGGCCCTCTTTCTAAGGAAGGCGACAACCCCATCCTGACCCAGTTATTGCTTCATGTGAAAGAGTGGAACTGCTCTATGGGGTTCTTTATGGAAGCAGATCGGCAGGCTTGCTCCTGCAGAGTTGCTGTGTGGGTTCGAACTGGTGACCTTTCTGTTTGCAGCCAAAGACTTAACCCACTGGGCTACCAGGGCACCTTTGTCTGACTCAGGCCAATCTCCGAATGAACTGTAGAGTTTGAACAGCTTGACTTTTAACACAGGCCCCAAAAGAGACAAATGCTATAAAAATACCAGTTCACACTTGTGAAGCTTGTGCATTTCTGGGGTCAAGCATTTGACATTCTTGCACTTGATCTGTGTCCCCGAGAGGCCACGATACGCCCATGTCTGGGATCTGGAGGCTGGAAAACAGGCTGAGGCCAAGTGTGTCTTCATGCATCTTTGTAATTTGAACGTGTTGAAAGGTGGGACAACCAGGCCAATGGCGCCTTGCCCAGGGCATTAGTGCTAAGAAGGCCACTGTAATACAAGCTCAGTGTTTGAAGGTGGCCTCCAACGCCTGTCCCACGACTCTATATCAGCAGCATGGCCAAGCGTCATCCCATCGCATGCATAGCCCTGGAGGGCATGCCCATTCCCCAGATGATCCCCCTGGTTTTTACGCTGAGACAAAGTAAGCCATGCATGGGTGCCTTCTAGGGACTCTTCAGACGGGCCTTTAAAATGGAACAACTCAGAGGGTCCAGATTTAAACGGGTGAGCACAACCTAAAACCAAGACCACGAGAAGTGCTTTCTTCTGTGGTAGGGGACCAAAGGGTTTTCCTTGCAAACTGAGCTAAGATGGATTGGATACCTTTAATCTGTACATCTAGGTCTTCACCTTACCTTAGAGAGGAGAGAGTTCCAGGTAGAGCAGGGAACTGCAGCCAAGGATAAGTTCCCAGAGCATTTAAGCGAGTATGTGTGCACCAAGGTTTCTCAAGTTTGACACCGTGTGGTGGTGGTGGTGATGTGCCGTGGAGTCGGTTCCGACTCAGCAACCCTGCATAGGGTTTCCGAGGCTGTAAATCTTTACGGGAGCAGAAAGCCTCATCTTTCTCCTATGGAATAGCTGGTAGTTTCAAACTGCTGACCTTGTGGTTTGCAGCCCGATTCGTAACCACTACGCTACCAGAGCTCCTTTTGACAAACTGTGGTGTCTTGCATATTGCTAGGATGCTGTAAGCTGCACCACAGGAATGTCAAATACTAGTAGGTTCAGGTTTCAATGGAGCTTTCAGACTAAGACAGGAAGAAGAAAGTTCTGGTGATCTAGTTCTGAACATTAGCCATTGAGAACTTATGGATCACTTCAGAATATTGTCTGAAGATGAGTCCCCTAGGCTGGAATAAACACACAGAGGCAGCAACAATGGCCGTAGGGTCAGCCAATGTTTGGTGCTGTTGCACATGGGGCCGCCATTTGTTGGAGATGATTGAAGGGCAGGGACTCTTGGTAGCATAGTGGATTACAAACTGAGCTGCTAACTGAAAGGTCAGCAGTTTGAATCTACCAGCTGCTCCATAGAAAAAGATGAGGCTCCTTTAAAGATTTACAGCCTCGGAAACCATATACAGAGTCACTATGAGCTGGAACCAACTCGATGGCACACAGCCACCACCACCACCACCACCACCAGCATGCCAAGTTTATTCATCATGTGTTGATGTTGTTTTCTTTGAAGTGTCTACAGAAGCAAGGGGGTTGGTGAAGGGTGCTGACTGACCCTTTTTGGACACTCAACTGATCTTGCAGACCAGTAGAGAGCTCATTGGACCATTGCTGCTCTGGGGGTCATGGTCTCTGCTTGAGCTGGGATGAGAATAACAGTCCCTCTCGAGAATGACAGTACTGAGTCCCCTTGTGCCCTAGCCCCCACCTGTTGTTGGACATCTCTGCCTATTGCTGTGGTGAGTTGTCGTTGAGTAGGCCCAGATTCAAATCTATTCTTGAGATGATCTCTAAATTCAGGTGGGATGACATCAGGAATATGATACAGGATGAAAGCAAAAGGTCATTGGGAAGACAAGAAAAAAGGAAAAATCCAAAATGGCTGTAAGAAGAGACTCTGAAACTTGCTCTCCAGCGTAGAGATGCTAAAGCAAATGGAAGAAGTGAGGAGATAAAAGAGATGAAAAGAAATGTTCAAAGGGCAGCTCAAGAAGACAAAGTCAAATATGACAAGGAACTGTGCAAAGACCTGGAGTCAGAAAAACCAAAAAAGGAAGAACATGCTCAGCATTTCTCAAGCTAAGGGAACTGAAGAAAAAGTTCAAGAAGAAAAACTTGCAAGATTGAAGAATTCTCTGAGCAAAATATTGAATGATGCAGAAAGCCTCAAAAGAAGATGGAAGGAATACACAGAGTCACTGCACCAAAAAGAAATGGTCGATGTTCAACCATTTCAAGAGGTAGCACATGATCAAGAGCCAATGATACTGAAGGAAGAAATCCAAGGTGCACTGAAGGAATTGCCAAAGAACAAGGCACCAGGAATTGATGGAATACAAATTGAAATCTTTCAAGAAAGTGAGGCGGCACTGGAAGCATTCATTCATCTCTGCCAAGAAATTTGGAAGACAACTACTTCTTGGAAGAAATCCATATTTGTGCCGATTCCAAAGAGAGGTGACTCAACAGAATGCAGAGATCATCGAACAATATCATTAATATCACATGCAAGTAAAATTTTGCTAAAGATAATAGAAAAATCACTGCAATAATACATTGTTAGGAAGCTGCCAAAAGTTCAGGCCACATTCAGACTAGGATGTGGAACTAAGAATATCATTGCTGATGTCAGATGGATCTTGGTTGAAAGCAGAGAATACCAATAACCGTGCTTTATTGACTATGCAAAGACTTTCGACTGTGTGGATCATAACAAACTATGGGCGACATTGCGGAGAATGAGTATTCTGGAACATTTAATTGTGCTCATGAGGAACCTGTACTTAGATCACAAGAACAGAGCAAGGTAACATTGAATTGTTTAAAATCAGGAAAGATGTATGCCAGAGTGGTATTCTTTCACCATAATTATTCAATCTGTATGCTGTGCAAATAATCTGAGAAACTGGATTATATGAAGAAGAACGTGGCATTGGGATTGGAGGAAGACTCATTAACCACCTGCGATATGCAGATGATACAACCTTGCTTGCTGAAAATGAAGAGGACTTAAAATACTTACTGATAAAGATCAAAGACCAAGTCTTCAATATGGGTTGCATCTCAATGTAAAGAAAACAAAAATCCTCACCACTGGACCAATAAATAACAACTACATTAATGGAGAAAAGATTGAAGTTGTCAAAGACTTCACTTTGCTGGGATTAGCTATCAACACTCATGGAAGCAGCAGTCAAGAAATCAAACAACGAATTGCGTTAAGCAAATCTGCTGCACAAGACCTCTCTGTAAATTGTTCAAGAGCAAAGATGTAATTTGAGAACTAACTGAAGTGCACCTGACCCAAAGCACGGTATTTTCAATGCATGTGAAAATCAGACAATGAATTAGGAAGACCATAGAAGAATTGATGCATTTGAGTTGTACTGTTGGAGGAGAATATTAAAAATTCTATGGCCTGCCACAAGAACCAACAAATCTGTTTTGGAAGTACAACCAGAATGCTCCTTAGAAGCCAGAATGGACAGACTTCTTCTCTCATACTTCAGACGTACTATTAGGAGGGATCAATCCCTGGAGAAGGACATCATGTTTGGTAAAGTAGAGAGAGGGTCAGCAAAAGAGACGAAGACCCCCTAACGAGATGGATTGGCACAGTGGCAGCAGCAATGGGCTCAAGGGAGTCGGTTCCGACTCATAGAAACCCTGCATAGGGTTTCTATGCAACGATTGTGAAGTTGGCACAGGGGTGGGCAGTGTTTCCTTCTGTTGGATGTAAGGTTGCTATGAGTCAGTACTGACTCAACAGTACCTAACAACAACAAAGGGCCCGGATTCAGGGTGACTTTATGTAGAGCAGAAGGAAACAGCCTGGCTCTCTGCTGTTCTGGACTGGCCCAGCGCCAGCAGCAATGGCCTTAACAAGAATTGTGAGGATGGTCCAGGACCAGACAAAGTTTCATTCTGTTGCTATAAATTAGAAGTGACTCGATAGCACCTAGTAACAACATGCTCTCTTTGGAGCCCTGGTGTGACACTGTAGGATAAGTACCAGATGGCTAACCGCAAAGTTGGTGGTTCAAACGCACCAGCCACTCCTCAGAAACCCTATACAGGGGCGCTTTAAGTCAGAATCGACTTGACGGCACTTAACAACAATGATGATGTCTGCACAAATGAGGGTGTGTTTGAGTCCCTTGTGGTGGCTATCGTGTGTGCCTTTTAACCTGAGGGGGGAAGAGGAGGGAGGCAGCCCATCTTCCAACACTGTATTAGCCAATGTTTGTGAGGCATACATTTTTATTGACTGCTTCCTACTCTCACAAAGGCCGACAGCCTCAGAAACCCTAGATAGGGTCACTAAGAGCTGGCACCAACTCAGTGGCACTTAACAACAACAATAGCAACTTTTCAGAAGTGGATTGCCACACCAGTCTTCTTAGTCTTAGCCTGGGAACTCTGCTGACATCAGCCAACCGTGGGTGATCCTCTGGTATTTGAAATTCTTACGCTATAGCTTCTAAGCATCACATCAACATGCAAATCACCACAGCACATAGACACATCGACAGAGGGCTGGTGGGTGTGTCTATGCTGTCAGGTGTCATTGAGTGGGTTCAGACTCCCAGAAGGAAACACTGCTCCGTCGTCCTATATCATCCTCAGCATCGTTGTTAGGTGTGAGTCCACTGGTGCGGTCACTGTCAATTCAGCTCCTAGCTGGTCCAATCTGGGGACACAACCTCAGAATGTTTGTCCATCTTTAAAAATTTATAGTATTTCACTTGAGAAAATTTTCTTTTGCTGGCTTTGGGATTTTATAATTATAGTATAAAACTGTGTTTAAGAATTGTGTTAAGTATGGAATGAAAAGACTCAAAGGGATCCATTTTAAAATTCAACTTCCATCATTTACTAGCCATGCTGCTTGGGCAAATCTCTTCCCGTCTCAGGACTCAGTGTTCTCATTTGTAAAAGGGGAGAATGCCCAGTGGACACTATCTTCTATTATCATCTGGCTTACCTATGATACAGGAGAGTTGGCTGGGAGGGGAGCCTTGCACCCTGCCTGGGTGGCTGGTGGGGGTGGGAGTGACCCCACAGCTCTGGGGGAGGATGGGAACAGAGAGGGTAAAAACCTAGGCTCTACAGTTGACCAGAGCAAGTGCTGAGCGCACAGAATGTGGCTGTACCAGGCTGGAGGCTATGAATGGGGTCCTCTAGGCCAGGACTTTCCACAACTTCAGTGGTGACTGTAGGAGATCAGGTGGCCTTATCTGACCCAGCTGCATGTCCACAGCTGAGCCCAGACAGTTAGCAAACAGTACTCTCACTACGCATGAGACACTCGAAGCTCCTTTTTTTTTTTTTTAAATTGCTTGTCTTGATCCTGTAAATTGATTTCAGACTCTCATGGGGGTCCCCTCCGATGGGAGCCTCTGCCCATCTGGGATTGGGGAGCAGGATGCTGGGGGCAGAGGTGGAGGGGAGTGGGACTCCGGAGGGGCTGAGGTGGGAAAGGAGGCAGGGTTGCTCTAGTGTAGGATCTGATTCTGAGGGTGGGCCCCTCAAGAAAGCTGCAGGGGCCGAGGGAGGGCAGAGTGTGAGAAACCCTTTTGGGAGAATTGCCCGCCGCCTGGAGGCACCCCCTCCAGTCCCCCCCTCCCCCCCACACCATATACACCTAACTAGCCTGGGTCAGAACATTGATCTAGATGCCTTCTGACCTCTGGACACACAGTTCTGTGCCCAGCACAGACCCCTGGACCCACCTGTTTCTGAAGCCAGGTCTTGTGGTGGAAAACTTGTAGACCTGGGAGCAGAGTCAAATATCTACCCTGGGCTGGGTGGGGGTGGGGCGTCTCATCAGCAGAATTGTAAGAACCAGAAAGCAAGGAACCATGAACCAGCAAACCACAAAGTCTTTCCTAACAAGGGCGTTGGGAGGAACAGGGTGAGAAAAGCAGGAAGGTGCATCCCGCTCAGAGACCCCGACACACACACAGGCCTCACCCACTGCCTGGAGCCCAGGCCAGCCAAGTCTCCAGCTGGTGACCAGGCTGGGGTCACGGAAGGGGACCTGGCTCCCTAGGCCTTGCCTGCATTGTGGGCCTGCCCCCAACAGGCTGACACTTGCCTTCCCAGACTCTGCTTCCTCCTTGGCCCTAGGGCTAGCGTGCTGTGTTCCCTTCCATCCTGTGACAACCCTGTCAGGTTGGCCCTGTTGCAGGGGAGACACCAGGTTCCAGAGAAGCCAAGAAGCCCACTAGGGTGTCCTCTCCTGACTCCCCAAGCAGAGAGACATCTCCCCTAGACACAACCTGTAAGCCCTCCCTCCCTCCTTCCATTCCCCCATGCCACTGGAGAGGAAAGGGCCCTAGTGGTGCTGTGGGATAAGCACTGGACTGCTAACCGCAAAGTCAACAGTTCAAACCCACGAGTCACTCCACAGGGGAGAGATGAGACTTTCTGCTCCCATAAAGATTTGTTGTTGTTGTTGTTATGTGCTGTGGAGTCGATTTCAACCCCTAGTGACCCTGTACAGGGTTTCCGAGCCTATAAATCTTTATGGGAGCAGAAAGTCTCATCTTTCTCCCGCGGAGCAGCTGGTAGTTTCGACCTACTGACATTGTGGGTCACAACCCGATTCATAACTACTACGCTACCTCGGAAACCCTGTGCAGGGTCACTGTGGGTCTGAACCAACTGGAGAGGTTGGTCTGCAGGGCTATGGGGTTGGGGAGACGCCTCCCTGTTCCCATGACCACTCGCCTCACCTGGCTGCCTGATCCTGCCGAGGTCCCCAGGGAGCTCCTAGTGGCCCCTCCATGTTCTAGTCACTACCTTGCACATCTTCCTGATCCCCTCTGAATGAAATTCCCTCTGAATGGGTTCTGTCCCCTCCCAGAAAACACCAAGGTGTCCCAGGGTCAGCCCAGTTAAACGTATACCTTGACTCCCAGAACTGGGAGAATCACTTCTGTGGCCCCTGAAACCTCCCATGTGGGGTATCCCCGGCCCCCAGAAGAGAGCCAATCATAGTTCTGTGGTCACTAGAAGGCACCAAAGAGTCCAAGTTTCAACCTGCAAACCGCTCCGGCTCTGCGGGGTTGTGTGTGCATGGGGGGGGGGGCGGTCCCCCCGCCCCAGGTCTCCTATTTGGCCCCCACTTTCAAGCTGAGGTCCTGCTGGCAGCAGGAGGGGACAGGAGCTGTGGGAGAGGGCATCTTGTCTGGACAGCACTGTGGACAGTGGGCTTTCAGGGCTCTTTCATGGACCCTTCAGGGGTCCCAGGAGGCATCAAATTGTCTGTCGATTAGAGACCTGCTCAGTGGCTGGGTTCCTAAGGCTTTCATGCCCACCTCAGCTCTCAGGAATTCGGGTCACCCAGCCCTCTTTCCCCGGCCCTGATGACTCTGCTCAACACACACCTTGTCCCAAGGGGCACACACACTTCCTTTGCCTGAACAAGGGACAAAACGTGATGCAGCTGCCATGGAACTGACACCAGCCACTACATTCACGTCCTCTTGGGTCATACTTCAAGGTTTGTGAGGGGGCCTGCTGAAGCCCCTCTAGGCCTGAAGTGAGATGTAGTCCTGGGTGCACCTGCAGCTCTTGGCCAAGCCTCCATGGCATCCACACTGTCTGACCCCCATGAACCCCACCTGATCTTGGAGCATCCAGCCCTTTGCTGGCTCTCGACCCTTACCACGTATGCTGTGTGTCTAGCCCTCTCTGTAACATTTGAACCTTGTGTCACTGTGAACGTGCCTCATTGCACTTGACCCTTGCTCACTTTCTGACCGTTGCTGCCCAGCCCTGTGCTGGCTTTTCTTCCTCAGCACAGGTCAGACAAACCCAGGTTCAAATTCTGACTCCACGGCAGATGGACTGTGTGGCTTTAAAAAAAAAATAAAAGAAAATATTGCCATTGTGTTCATTGACTCACGGTGACTCGTAGAACTGCTCTGTAGAATTTTCTTGAATGTGAACTTTCCAAAAGCAGATCACCAGGCCTTTCTTCCTCAGTCCACTGGGTGGGTGAGAACAGCCAACCTTTAGGTTCAAAGTTGAGTGCAAAGTGTTGAGCTTTGGGCCTTCATTTCGTCATCTGTAAAATAGGGTTGCAAGAGCACCTCCTAGTATGGTCATGGTGTTTAATGTATATGAAGCGTGATTGAGAGTCAGCCATTTCTCTCCCCTCGGCCCTTAGTCTTTTCCTCGCCCCTCTGTATGTATTCTGTTGCTTCGGTTCACTGACGACCTCCAGGACAGCTTTTCTTCCACACCCCCAAGTGCTGCTGTGATAAAATTGTGTCTCTCAGAACGATGTGTTGAAGTCCTAAGCTCCCGTGTATCCGTGAATGTGACCTTAATTGGAAACGGCATCTTTGCAGATGTTATCGGTTAAAATAAAAAAGTCAGACTGTATTTGATTAGAACTACGTCTAGGAGCCCTGGTGTGACACTGTAGGATAAGCACTGGACTTCTAACTGCAAGGTTGGTGGTTCAAACCCACTAGGCATTCCTTGGAAACCCTTTATAGGGTTTCTGTGAGTTAGCACCAACTCAATAGCATTTAACAACGACAACAGGACTAAGACACAGAGACTGACTGAAGCAGAGATGGACCAATGCTTCCAGAAGCCAGGGAAGATCTGGGGACACCAGAACTAGAAGATAGAGAACCTTAAGCCTGAGGAGAGAGCAGGGCTCTGCCAACACCCTGAATTTGGACTTCTGGCCTCGGAGACTGTAGAAAATAAAGTTCTGTTGTTTTGAGCAGTAATAGGCTCAAATGTGGCAACAATTGTGAGGTTGGCGCAGGACCGGTTAGGGTTCTGTTCTGTTGTGTATATGGTTACTATGAGTCAGTACTGACTTGATGGCACCTAACAACAACAACGAAGAGAGTAGAACACACTCCCACCAGGTCATGGCCGCCCGCCCCCACCACCCCAGACAGAAGTAGCCTTCGGCTCCAGGCTCCCTCTACTCCACAGCGTCCTTCTCTGTTAGACTGGGGGTGTTGTAGGGGCAGGGGCCCCCTCTGGGCCTAGGATGAAGTTGTGACCTACCTAGTATCCTAAGTGTTTGTTGCAGGATACTGATGGTTCAGTGGTAGAATTCTTGCCTTTCATGCTGAAGACCCAGGTTCGATTCCTGGTCAAAGCACCTCATTCATATACAGATAACCCCCTGTCTGTCCATGGAGGCTAGTATGTTGCTGTAACGCTGAACGGGTTTATCAGAGCTTCCAGACTAAAAGAGACTAGGAAGAAAGGCCTGGCTATCTGCTTCCAAAAAATCACCCCCTGAAAACCCTTAGGATCCCAATGGTCTGATCCAAAACTAATCATGGAGACCAGGCAGTATTTCATTCCACCATGCATGGACTCGACATGAGTCATGGGCCAATTCCACTGCAGCTAATAACAACCACAAAATGCTTGTTAGATACACAAATGGGAACAACTGAGAAGAATTTGTGAGTTCAGAGATTCTTATGAGCCCATCTGCAAAGGTGAGCCTTACCTTGGGGAAGCTTCTAGCTAGCAGACAACAGAACTCATACCCTAGAGGGGGCATCTCACAAACTCGGGTCCGAGAGAAGGGCCAGAGCTGGGCAGCTGCTGTGGTCCAGGCTCAGGGGTTACTGACACCCCACAAACGGAAGGGAGCAGTGAAGGCAATTAACCACATCATCAGACTCTAACCCAGTCCTTCCCCTGCATGTCTCCCATCCTCAGTTTTTAGCCCTCTGTCTCCAGATCGGATGTCATTATAGACTGAGTTGTCAGACATTGCCCTCTTGGCTTTTCTGAGACAGCAGTTTCATCGGAAAGCTGAGGCTCTTGCCTGGGAGTTTCTCCTTGCTGCTGTAGACTTTAGCCAGGGCCACACATCTTAATGACCCTAGCCCTCTGCCCTTAAAATAATGAATCCCGGAAGGATACAGAACAACAGATTTCTATTTTTATAGATTTCTCCAGAATTGTAAAGATCAGCTTAATTGCACTAGCAGATTCCTTCATTTTCTAGAAGGAATTGTTTAAACGGAGAGAATCTTTCCAAAGAACTGGATGGATGTCTTCCCACCAGACAAACAGGAAGGTGGCTTTGTTGTGTGGACAGCATGTCCATCCTCGCCAGTCCTGGAGGCTGCCCGTTCCCTTGAGGATGAGCAGGCAGGACCCCAGGGCAGTTGGACAGGCTCTGTAACCCTGGTGCAGATGAGTGACCCTGGTCAGTTCCCAACCCTCTAACTCTCTCGAACAAACACCTGTGCCACGTGACCCATCGCCTTGCAGGCACACTGGGAGGACCAAACAGATATAGGTGAAGGTTGGAAAATGTCTCCTGAACCATGTCTTTTGAAATAAGTAGGGATGGGTCAGTGTGGCACAAATGGTTTGTGATTGGCTACAAACTAAAAGGTGGGTGGTTTCAACCCACTCGACAGCACCTTGGAAGAAAGGTCTGGCAGTTTGGTCCTATAAAGATGACAGCCTAGACAGCTCTATAGAGCAGTTCAGCTCCGACACACATGAGGTCACCATGAGTCAGCAACAGGTTGTGTTTTGTTGTTGCTGTGCAGGTGAAGAGGCGGAGGAGGGTGTATTCTAGACAGAGCGGGTACAAGAATAGATGCGCAGAGAGGGGTGTGGCCTGTGTGTGCAAACAACCCCTCCATCTCCAGTGTGAGGTTGTGGGGCAGAGTGAGTAAAGTTCTTACACTTTTATTTCCTCTTGTCCTTCCAGCCCACCTGGCACCTTTGGGAATCAGGAACAATTCTACCCCCTGGCTCAACAGGAAGCTCCTAAAGAGAATCAAGGCAGGAAACAAATAGGGCCTTAGCAAAGGAGTATGGAAATGGGGCCCTGATTAGAGAAGGGATCTGGGGGAGCTAGCAGGGCCAGGGACCTTCCAGGGGAGTGTTGTAAATAGGATCCAGAGTAAAGGATCACTTAAAGACTTGGGGGGCTGGGGTTTGTGGGGTATGTTGGGGATCAGTGCTTCCTGTCTTCTGCCCAAACCAGGCAGAAGAGTCCAGACATATAAAGTCCAGTATGAATTTCCCTCCCATTTCACAGCACTGTAAGATCAGCACTAGACTGCTAATCACAAGGTCTATGATTCAAACTCACCAGCCGTCTGAGAGAGAAAGATGAGACTTTCTGCCCCTGTAAAGATTTACAGCCTTGGAAACCCTATACAGGGTCACTATGAGGTGGGATTGAGTTGATGGCAGTGAGTTTGTTTTGGGGGGAGGATTTCCGTCCACCAGAGCACTACCATATTAATTGTGCCCCACGTGATCCGCCACGATCTGCAGACAGTGGACTCCCTGGAAATATTAATGCCTTCAGTTCTCTGGGGGAGGTGGTACCTCTTTCATGACTCAACCCACCCCAAGCCCACGGCCATCAAATCAACTATGACTCAGACCCTATAAGATCTGCCCCATAATGTCTTCAAGGCTGTGAATCTTTACAGGCACAGTCTCATTTTTTCCCCTCAGAGCTGCTGGTGGGTTTGAACTGCCAGACTTGTGGTTAGCAGTCAGGTGCTAAATCTACTGCGCCCATCAGCGTTCCTTAGTCCCAAAGTAACAGTGTGGCCAAACCATCTCATCCTGGTTTGAAGTTTTACAGGTCCCTTGGGATCCCCTTCTCAGGGCGGGGAGTGGGGGCTTCAGCTCAGGGCTGAGCTAAATAGACCTAAAAAGAAACCAGCCTGGCCTCACGCCAGTCCAGTGGGGGGTCCACTGCAGGCAGGAGTCCACGCCTGATGTCCCCGGCAAAATAAATCTTGCTGCTCCCTCAGAGCGTCTCGCATGATCTTCTTCCGATTAACAACTCGGCCTGCATGTTCTTGGCTGCTCGCTGCCGACCTCAATTTAAAACTGTCTGCTGTTTGGCTGCTGGGAAAGGAAGGTTCTGGAGAGACAAGGAATATGGAAGGCCAAGGCGGGAGGGCTGCAGGCTGAGGTCTGGGGGCTGGGTGGCTACTGATGGGCCCAGAACTTGATTAGCCATTTAGGAGACTGCCCGGCTGGAGAGGGGACATGAAGGCCCGTTCAGGCAGGTTTGCTGCCTTGGGGAATTTCAACCTGTTTTCTGAGGCATTCTAGGACAGCGGGGGGTGGGGGAGGAGACACTAGGGGCTGGGGTGGAAGAGGGGGCCTAGGACCCACGGCAACTCCTACTGAACATCGTGGTCACGGGTGACATGTCCACACGGGAGATACAGCCTGACTGGAAAAATTGTCCTCAGAGTCTTGTTTGTGACATCAAAACTTGCCACACCCTCTCTGCCCAGATTTGGCAATGACTTTGTTTCTCCTGATCACTGGTATGCCTCCTTCCACAGAGACAGCGAAACCTGCTTCCCTTTCTGCCTCTACTGCCAGGAAGCTTCTCCTGCCTCCATCTTCCTCTGGATTTCTCATCTTTCACCAGCCTTTGGTCTTAGATGTGTGTGGCTTTGTCTCTGAGGGCTGCTGTAACACGAATACCATCAATGAGTCGCAGACGTTTCTTTTCACACTGAATTCAGGGCGTTGGCTCCCCGGGGAAGACTTTCTGTAACCCTGGTGTTCTGGTTCCTTGATGATCCTCAAGTGCTTGCTCCTGTATCTATTCTACTATTTCTGAGTCTCAGAGGTGATTAGGTTTAGAATCCACTCTACACTGATATGACTTCATTAACATACCAAAGAAAATGATTTCCAGTTGGGGTTACATCTTCAGGAAGTTGTCACATGTTGTTGAGTTGATTCTGACACATGGCGCCCACATGGCAAATAGAACTGTCCCATAGAGTTTCCTAGACTGTGATCTTTACAAGAACACATTGCCAGCTCTTACTCCCAAAGAGCAACTGGTGGGTTTAAATCATAGACCATTCGGTTACCAGCCAAAAGCTTAACTGCTGCACCATTAAGGTTGCTTTTCCATAGGAAGAGAGGTTCGGATTCCAGCCTGTATTTTGGAAAGTACACAATGCAATCCATAGCATTGTGCTTTTAATCCAATGTAGCCTCTTGACATTTAAGAAAGAGAGGGGCTGAAAATGTGGGCTCTGTGGTTTCTAGTCCCTCACCCACCCATGGGAGCAAGTGCTCAGCCTCCCAGTGCCTTGGACACTTCTTCCAACTCATAACGACCCTATATAGGGTTTCCAAGACTGTACATTTTCACGGAAGCAGACAGGCTCATCTTTCTCCTGAGGAGCAGCTGGTAAGTTTGAGCCCCAACCTTGTGGTTAGCAGCTCAATGCCTAACCTACAGCACGTCCAGGGCGTCCTCATGAATGTGTCTGCAATCATGGAGTTGAGTACGCCAAACACTCAGCACAGACATGTACGGAAGGCAGGTGAGCAGAGACGGCCTCTGACGTATTGTTCTTCTCTTCTTCCCCTTGCAGGAGGACAGTCAGTAATCCACACTGGTCCCCCCATAGTGGTCACCCTGGCCAACAAAGTCGTTTCCTTTAACTGCAAAATCACCTATCTGTATATCTCAAAATACAAGAACTTCAAGGTTAACTACTTCTATGTCAACCGCCAGAGCCAGACTAGCACTGAGGAGCACACTGACTGCACACCCAGCCAGGGCACAGAGAATCAGACCCATTCTGTGGAGTGCCAGGTCACGTCTCGGCTGCAGGATGCATCAGCCACTGGCATGTACTACTGCTCTGTTCATTGGCAAGAAGACACGAAAATCGGCAATGGTACCTTCATCCTGGTCCGAGGTGGGGTTTGTTTCTTGTCTTTCCCAGTGTGAAGGGTCCAAAGGTTTCACCCAGCAGGGTCTGAAAAGGGGAACGAGTTGCCTCGTCTTCCAGCTCAGGCAAAGCAGAACAGAGTGGCCACAGGAAGGCCCCAGCTTACGAGGGAAGAACAGAGATGTGGGCTGTGGATTTGCTTCTGGTCCCTTCAGGCAGGTGACCTCAGCCAGGTCCCTTGACCCCTTGGGTCTCAGTGTCCTGTTGGCACAATGTGGGGCCACGAGTGTGGGCACGAAGTTTATGGACATCTTTTTGGGAATAGCTTCCTAGTTTTCATCATCTTCTCACAAGAGTGATAACCCCAAAATCCAGAAACAAGTCCATTCCCAAAGCCAGGATTCTTTGACCTCTCTTTGCAGTTTCCCTAGGAAGGAGCAGGGGGCTTCAGAATCCCACAGTCTTAGGGTTGACTTCTGATCCTGCTGCTTCCCAGAGTGTGACCTTTAACCAGGTCTTCATGATAATACCTGTGAAGGGGTTTATGGGGATGATATGAATTCACACAGACAAGGGCCAATGCCTGGTGGTCAGAAGTGCTTGATAAATAGCAGATATTGGTGTGCCCATCATACGATTGGCATTTAGTGAATATTTGCCAGATGGATGGGAGGATGGATGGATGAACAGATAAATGGATGAACAGATAGACTGGATGGAAAGATGGATGGATGACTCAGAGAAAGAGGGGGAGGACTCTGCCCTTCACTGACTCCTGGGGCAGGCTGACCACTTGCTCTATGCAACACAAACATGTCTCCTTTCTCCTTGAAACCACACTACAGCCCTTCCCCACCTCAGTGAGGTAGATGATTGTTATGATCATTTCACTAAGGGGAAGACGAAGCCTCAAAAGGTGGAATTACCCTCCCCCGCCACTACCCTCAGCTTCTCATTTGCAGCTCACAGGGGAGCCCTAAGTTCACCGAGGGTGGGAGGCAGGGGGTATTCAAGAAGCAAAAGAGAATGAAGGCCGTAAACAAAAAGAGGCTTAGTAAAAGGAAGTATGGAAAGGACTACCTGAGTCCAGACAGGGTTGGGGGGTGTCAGGGTCTGGGCGCTGGCGTAGGTGGTTGTGCTTGCAGCTTCTCCTGGTAACTGAGACCTCTGCCCCTCCTCCTAGACTCAGGTTACCAGAAGCCTGCACAGCCCTACCTGAAGAGCCTGCTCTTGGGCTTCACCGGCTTCCTGACTGTCCTGAGTGTCCTGGGTACGGCTCTCCTGCTTTGGAAGAAGGTATGGGACCTATGGCACTGGCAATGTGAACGGCAGGGCTGTCCAGAGGGGCAGAGGGACCACCAGCCTAGCCTGAAGCAGGTCCTGGTAGGCCCTGGTGAGACATGCACCCCTAACTGTACTAGGTGAGCCGTTATTCCTCACCAGAGGCCGAGAGAGCGTCCCATCCCACATTTTCCTCATGGCCCCCAGATGGTGGGACTGCACTCCTTGCTCATTTTCACCAGGCCCCTTTTGATCCTGTTCCAAGAAACCAGGGCTCTTTAGCCTTTCTGGGACACGGGCCCCTCTGAGAATCTGATGGAAGCCACAAAGCCTCTTGTGTCCCGTTTCAAGCTCCCATATCAGGAACAATCCCTGTCCTAGATTTTCTCCATCCCTGGAAGGGAAGAAACCCCTCAGCACACCTATGAGCAAGGCTTCTTCCAGATCAGAGAGATTGCAATGTGTCCAAGATCACACAGCAGCAAGCAAGTGGCAGGATCAGGCTGGAGTGCAACAGGATCCAACTCTTTGCCTGGCCCACTGCTTTAGATGGCTCCTACCCAGCGAGAGGCATCTTTATAGTAGTCCACCCCAACTGTTACCATCACATCACCCTGCCAGGCAGCAAGTGCCAGGAAGACAGAGACCAAGGGGGCCTTGTTTACATGACTTAGTGTTGGGAGCCAGATGCATCGCACAGACCTGAGTTCAGGGCCTATCTCGGCCACTTCCTGGCTATGTGACTTCAGGCAAGTCGCCTACCCTCTCTGAGCTTTCGCTTCCTCATGTGTGGCACAAAGATGGTGCAAGGATGTCTCTCGCAGGTTCATTGAGGAGCGTGTGAGAGAAAGCAGGAAACGCATTCGTGTGTGTGAGCTGCACCTGGCACAGGCGTGAGCTCCAGCCTCCTGAGCTATTATTATTTCGTGACTCGGGGTGGCGCTGGCTCCTGTCTGCGAGTTAAGTAGCTCTCCAGAGCTAATCCCGGAGTAAATGGGCTGGGGGTTGGCAGGCAGCCAGGGTTTTTAATTAGCTCCTGCCCTGAGATGAGGCTGTTGTTGCTCCACTGTTAGCAGTGTGGTGCCGGGGATGAGGAGGGAAGGCCGGGCCCGCCTCCTTCTGCCTCGGGAAGGAGCTGACGGCACCACCTCCTGCCGGCTCCTTCCACTTCCCAGCAGGCCGCCCCGCCCCCGCCTCTAGGACCACCATTAGCCCTTCACCCCACAGCCCTTGCGGGAGCTTCTGAATCGGCCCTGGATCCTGGTGTCTCCAGCTTAAAGCTCTCAGATGAGGCCTTGCTTGGCCCATCTAAGCAGGTCCACCTCTCCCTCCACCTGGACCCTCTTTATGTTCGCCTAGATCTCAGTGTGGCGCTGTGGTTAATTCACTGGATTGCAAGATCGGTTTGAACCACAAAGTCAGCGGTTCAAGCTCAACAGCCCCTCCTCGGAAACCCTATACAGGGTCGCTATGAGTCAGAACCGACTCAACAGCACCTAACAACAACACAACAAAAAGACTTCCAGGACTCGATCCATGCTGTTCCCTCTACTTGGAACTCTCCTTCCCGAGAAGAATGAATCCCTTCTCAACCTACCAGGCCAGGCCTTCCCTCTGTATCACCCTTCAGTAAAAGGGCAATTTCACCAGCCATCCCCTGGCAGACTGCAGGGGCTGTGTCCACCTCTCTGAGCCTCCTGGTTAATGAGTGGCACCTGGCTAGTGCATGTTGCTGTACCTTCCCATCTGTCTCACAGAGGAGAGCTGTTGTTGAAGGAGTTGAGGCTCAGAGAGGACAGAAGTTTACTCCAGGACACAGAGGCAGTGAGGGGAATTAGAGGGAACCTGCTTGGTGCCCACACACAGCAGTTGGCTCTGTGGCCTGAGACCTGCAAACTGGTACCGTGCCCACCACCCCACCTCCCAGAGCCTCAGGTAGACCAGCGGTTTGGTGTAGGCTTCAGAGACACTTGCCACGTTTCCCTGGAGGTTTGGAGGGTGCTAAATGTTCAATATCTGTCACCCTCTCCCCTGCAGGGGCCTTAGGGGGGGAGGGGAGGCAGGGGAGTTACTTGCCACCAGACCCTCACAGTCCTGAGTCCTCTTCCCACAGAAACGAATGTTGGTACCAGGGAAGCAGCTGGCCAGCAGCTCCAAGCAGCCTCCGTCCGAACCCATCTACACGGTGAGTCCAGAAGCCGGGTTACCCCAGCCCTGACGCCAGGGTTGAATCCCTGACTCTGTCATATACCAACTGTGTGACCTCGGTTCCTCGTCTGTGGAAAGGGGACACTAATGATGAATTATTATGAATTACTTTGTGGAATTCTTATGAATCACTATGACAGACCCTGGTCCTGCTAGCACTTCACAAGTATGATTTCCCTCCTTGGCCCACCCTCTTCTCCCCTCCACTTCTGAAACTGAGTTCATGAGTTAGCAAGGAATAAAAGAAGTTCCTTCATCTGACCATGACTTTGCCCAGCCTCTTTCCATTTTTCTTGCGCAAACAACATCACAACAATAACAACAAAACGCACAAAAAGAGGGAAGGGCAGGCACCATCCCACGCCCGTAACCATACGACATCACCGATTTTCGATTCTCTGCACGCACACACACACACACACACACACACACACACACACACACACACACCTGCAACCACCTACACACAAGGTTTTGTGCTGTTACCGTCACATGGGTCAGGAAACTGTTTATTCCACACCCAATGTCGTCAACATTTTCCGTCACTGCAACAATCCTCATAATTACCTGAGGAATGTCTGTGGCACGTGGGACCTGGAAGCCTTGGCTTCATGCCCTGCTAGAGTGCCCACCCCACCCCACTCACCCGTCAGCACACAGCCACTGGGCCAAGGCTGGGCCATGAGGGCAAGAACCCTTCTTCTCTTTTCAATGTGATTCATTTCAGCTCCACAAGTAACATGTACTCACTGTACAGAAAGGAAATCGAATGCCATCCAGGGACATGGGTGTCAACTCTGTGAGGATGGATTCAGGCTGGGCTCACTCCATAGCTGGAAGCTTCACACCTGGGTGGGGTGGGCTCCCTGGAGACTCACACAGAGGGTGTTCAGAATACGAACTCGTTTACTGAGGATAGGGCAGGTAGGAGCGAGGCAAAGGGAACGTCTCCTGTGTGGCCTGACTCCTCATCCATCACCGCCCCCAGTAACTCATCATAATATTTCTTTCCAAGGAATTCTGGTGTCAAGTGTCAAATAACAGTAACCTCTCTATGGATATAATCTTGAACCCTGGCAGTGCATTGGTTAAAGCACTCTGCTGTTAACCAAAAGATCAGTGGCTGAAACCCAGGTTCTCCTTGGGAGAAAGCTGTGGAAAAATACGGTCTCCAACTTCATAGCTATCTATAACCACGGAAGCCCTGTGGAGGAGTTCTGCTCTGTCCTAGAGGGTCCCTGTGAGTCAGGGTTGTTTGATGGTAATGGGTTTATATACTATGTATGTATCATATAGATCATACATATCACATATGTGTGTGTATATGTATCCCAATATATCAAAAAGAATGAAAGAGCCATCATCCATCCTAAACTCATTTTCTTTCAGGAGAAATACTAATAGCATGACATTTTATACCAAATCAGTCTTTTTTCTATAAATATACACAAAGCGAACACACACACACACACACATTTTTTTAAATTGGAATTGTACAGCTGGGTTTTGTTTTTTGTTTTTCATGTTACACTGTATGAACATCTCTCTGTGTGAATAAATACCCTTCTACGAGATGATGGTAATGGAAGAGACTCACTTTTGAATGAAACCTCTTTCTCACCAGTGTCTAGAATATTCTGTGGTGCAGGCTGACTTCTCTGGCTCTTGGAAAAGCCCAACTGCTCTGCAGGATGGATTGGAGAGATGTTAGGGTCAGAAAGGAGATGTGGAGGGAAATGCCACAGGACTTTGCTAGCTCTAGAGATCAATCCCTACCAGCTGGAATTGGCCCTGGGCAGGTTAGACTAGCATTAGCTTAGTAGTGATTAGATTAGGAACCTTTTTTTTTTTTTGAGCACCTACTATGTACCAGGCGCTATTGTTATTGTTAGGTGCCATCAAGTTGGTTCTGATTTATAGTGACTTTATGTACCATAGAGCAAAACACTGCCCAGTCCTGTGACATCTGCCTCATCATTTGAAACCATTTCTTGCAGTCTCTGTATAACTTCATCTCATTGATGGTCTTCCTCTTTTGGGCCAACATTCCATTTTACCAAGCATCCTTTTCCATGGACTTGCCCTTCCTGATAATATGTCCAAAGTAAATAAGACTTAAAATCTCAACATCTTGGCTTCTAAGGAGCATCTGGTTATACTTTTTCTAAGACAGACTTAGTTGTTCTTTTGGCAGTCCAAGGTACATTCAATATTCTTTGTCAACACCATTATTCAAGACATCAAGTCTTCCTGATTCACTGTCCAGCTCTTGCATGTATATGAGGTGACTGGGAATACCAAAGCTGGGATGAGGTATTCCCTCTTAGTTTTCAAAGTGACATCTTTTCTTCTTATATAGTTCTTTTGTAGCAGATTGGCTCAGTGCAATATATATCATCACTTCATTTCTTGACTGTTGTTTCCATGAGTGTTGGTTCCAAGTAAGTTTAAACTCTTGACCACGTCGATTTTCTCTTGATTTATCATGATGTTGATAAATATTGGTCCAGTTGGGAGGATAGTTGCTTTCTGTATGTTGAGGTGTAATCTATACTGAAGGGCTGTAGTCTTTGATCTGAAGTGCTTCAGGTCCTCTTCACTCTCAGCAAGAAAGCAAGGCTGTGTCATCTGCAGCTAACAGGTTGATAATGAATCTTCTTCCAAACCTAAGGCTGTGTTCTTCTTCATATAGTTCAGCTTCTTGGATTATTGAATAAGTATGGTGAAAAAATACAATGCTGACACACACCTTTTCTGATTTTAAACCATGCACATTTGCTTGTTTTGTTCCAATGACTATTGGAACTTAGTCTAAGTACAGGTTTCTCAAAAGCACAACGAAGTGTTCTGGAATGCCTGGTGTTCAAAATGTTATCCATAATTTTTTATGACCCACACAGTCGAATGCCTTTGCACACTTAATAAAAGACAAGTAAACATCTCTCTGGTATTCTCTGTGTTCAGCCAAGATCCTTCTGATACCACAATGGCATCCCCTTTTCCATGTCCTTTGCTGAATCCAGTGGGAATTTCTGGCAGTTCTTGTCAATGTACTGTTGCAACTGTTTTGAAATTATTTTCAGCAAGATTTTACTTGAATATGATACTAATGATATTATTAGATAATTTCTGCATTCTGCTGGGTCACCTTTCTTTGGAATGAGTACAAATACAGATTTCTTCCAGTCAGTTCCATGGTAGCTGTCTTCCATACTTTTTGGCATAGATGAGCAAATGCTTTCAGCATTGCATCTGTTTGTTAAACCATCTCAATTGGTATCTTTGTCAGTTCTTGCAGCCTTGTTTTTCATCAGTGCCTTCAGTGCAGCTTGGGCTTCTTCCTACAGTACCATTGATTCTTGATCATGTGCTACCTCCTGAAATAGTAACATCAACCAGCTTTTTCATACAGTGACTGCATATTCCTGCCATTATCTTTTGATGCTTCCTGCATCGTTCAGTATTTTGCTCATAGAATCCCTCAGTATTGTAACTTGAGGCTTATTTTTCTTTCAACTTGAGAAATGCCAAGCATGTTCTTCTTGGGTTTTCTAATTCCAGATCTTAGCACCTTTCATTTGTAATACTTGATTTTTTTCTACTCAAGCTGCCCTTTGAAATCTTCTGTTCAGCTCTTTTGCTTCATCATTTCTTCCATTCACTTTAGCTGATCTACATTCAAGAGGAAGTTTCAGAGTCTCTTCTAACATCCAGTTTGGACTTTTCTTTCTTTCATGACCTTTTGCTTTCTTCTAGTGTGATGGTGTCTTTGATGTCATCCCACAACTCATCTGGTGGTCATTCATTAGTGTTCAATGCATCAAAATTACTCTTGAGACGGTCTTTAGATTCTGGTGGGATAGACTCAAAATTGTACATTGATTTTCATGGACTGGCTTAAGTTTTCTTCAACTTTCACTGGAACTTACATATGAGCAATGGATGATCTGTTGAGTAGTTGACCCCTGCCCTCATTCTGATTGAGGATATTGAGCTTCGACATCATCTATTCCCAAATATGTAGTCAGTCTGATTTCTGTGCATTCCATCTGGCAAGATTCATGTGTGGATAGTTGCTCTTTATGTTATATCTTCAATGAAGAAGTTGATGGTCTTATAAAATTCTGCCATGTAATCTCCAGTGTCGTTTCTATCATCAAGGGCATATTTTCCATCGATCCTTCTTTGTTTCTGACTTTTGTATCCCAATCACTAGTAATTATCAATGTATCTTGACTGCATGTTTGGTCAATTTCAGACAACAGAAATTGGTACAAATTTAAATGTCTTCATCTTTGTCATTAGTGGTTGGCGCATAAATTTGAATAATAGTATTAACTTATTTGCTATTGTTGTTGTTAAGTGCATCAAGTCCTTTCTGAATCATAGAGAGACTGTGTAGGGTTTCCGAGGAGCAACGGGTGGGTTTGAACCGCCAGTCTTCTGGTTCAAACTGACTTTGAGGTCCAATGCTTATTCTACAGGACACCAACTTCCTTGTAGGTATGTGGATATTATCTTATGACTGACAGAGTTGTGCTTCATAATGAATCTTAGAATGTACTTTTTGACATGCACAATTTGTTATTCCTGGCATAGTAGACCATGCTTGATCTAAAATGGCCAACACGAGTCCATTTCAGTTCACTGATGCCTAGAAAATTAATCTTTTTGCATTCCATTTAATTTCTGATGACTTCCAATTTTCCTAGATTCGTATTTTATACATTCTGAACATCCAGGCACTGTGCTAGGACTTGATTCCATTATCTCATTAATGTGAAGACACTTTTGCAGCTGTTTCTTTTCATTTGGGTTCAGCGGTAGAGTCTCACCTTCCATGCAAGAGACCCAGGTTCAATTCCTGGTCAGTACATCTCCAGTACAATTACCATTCATCCAGTAGTGGAGTCTTGCATGTGGCTGTGATGCTGACCATGTTTCAGCAGAGCTTTCAGATTAAAATGGACTGTGAAG